CAGGAAAGGGTAACCACATCTTCTACTGTCGAAACATTTTATGAGGTACAAGACTGATATGGGAACAGTGATGCCATTTTCTTCATAGGGAAATTTATAGGCTCAAATTACTAGCAACAATTGTTTAGATGAATGTTCAATTCCATCGATGCACGTTGAGGGAAGCTGAAAAGAATTCACTCTATCGCGTGCAAATTTTGAATGACTTACATCACCAGTCAAAAGATAAAAGAGGGTTGCTGCTGCCAGATCACTAGGTGAGTCGTCAAAATTGAGACCTATAAGAGCATTGATTATAGTCTTCGCCATCCTGAAAACAAGGCATTATGAATGTCAGTTTGAGTAAACCCAAAAAGATAGCAATATTGACTAATGCATGAAAAGCGGAATATGTCACCTAGCTCCACTAAAGTAAACAGAACATAATCAAGCGTCAACTGTGAGCATGTCAACGATCCACTATTTTGAATAGACAAAATATTTTCCACCACAGCCATGTGAACCTATTGCTTATTTCATAAATTAACTGTAAATTCAAGCCCTCTACACTTATAACTTTTCTACTTTTGATTTTACTTGTAAGCATGTAAACTTTAGATCATTGCCTTTAAATTAATATGGGATGACTTAAGTATTTTAAAATGTATAGTTATTAAACATTTAAACTATATGAATTTTGCTCATTGTTTCTAAAATCAAAATCGATTTTTTATTTGGGCAACCTAAAGTACTCATGCCCCAAAATGCATCCTGAATTAACTTTCATTGAGCAACAAATTAAATAATATAGGTAACAAAAGGTGTCATGGATAATAATGAGAGAAAAAGGAAGAGGACGGAAAGGAGGATTGCATGGGGAAGAAGTCTTTTCATTCTAAAGGAGACAGGAATACATTGTTTATCTTTCTAAATTGCTGACAGCAAAGAAAATTAACACAAGCAAAAGAAACAGAATGACAATGAAATGTTCCCTCTCAAGCCTGCTACATATTCCATCCTCTATTTCTAAACAATGTGAGTGACTCCAAGAAGATTTTGTTAAAAAGGATCAGAGGTAGATAATTTAATTCAACTAGAACGTCCAAAATAGATTATTGAGAATTGTCATAAAGACATTATTGGAATAAAATGCTTCATTCATTCTCTTAAGAACTTGAATTATACCCCCCCTTTTTCCTAACAGAATTGTCACAATTGTCTCTGAAAGCGGTGCAGACTACTAATCCTTTAGCTAATTCATGCTCCATGACTTCTTTCTAAGAGAAAAGTTCTAAAGGACTTCAATATGTAAGGATCTAAATTTTGGTTCATCAAAGCAGTATAACAGCTGCCAGGGAACGTTGGAGAAAAAAATGCTCAGGCAGTGAGGTATTCAGCTGTTTCTCTAATGCACAACCAAGAAGGGAAAAATATACATTTGCAGAAGTTAATTAAGGCTATACCTTAGATTTTTCATGTTATGTCATGCATAACAATCAGTGAACATATCCAAAGTTGAATCAGGAATCCTATAAGCTGGACTTCAAAAAACTCTCGTGCATTGCTCCTACAGCAATGCAGTGCTCATACCATATATTGCTTACTTCCATTTCGGTTACCCCACTTAGATCACCACTCATAGCTTTGAAAATATAATAAGAAGATTGACGAATTTGTGAAGTTTACAACAAAGAAAACAGGAAACCCGAAAACTCAGCTCAAAAACTCACTGGCCGCACAGATGAACTCCTGGCAATCTCCTCATGTCTTAAACCATACAGCTACTATGACGAAATTGTGAAGCGTTTCTTGGAAACTGAAAGCCTACAGGACTAGAAACTCGAATCTAAATTGAACAGCCTTCGGAATTAAAAGTTCAATATCCAAAGCTTCCTATATCATCCAACTCAAGCCCAACCCACCAATACATCAATCCCTCTAGCACCTTCCCAAAACTCAAATCATCGCATCGCCTCATTTTGACCAAACACAACAGTTCTAACACCCATTAATGCCCCCTCCAAACACCAACACGCACAATCACACGCCCCCAGTTAGCCCCAAACCTGAAAAACACACAGCACATCCAAAAAAAGAAAACATTTTTTAGCTCTAAAGCATACATACCCCTGAGTCCTCAAGAGCCTCCTCTGCTGTGCGGTGCCGCAAATCCCCAACAAGGACAGCAAGCTCGCCCTCCGAATCCTCACGGGCTGCCCCTTCCTCAGCCCATCTAGGGCGAAATTCACCTCGTCCACATGCTCCATCATCTCCCCGAACTCCTGCGTCTCCATCAGCGTCGACGTGGCCCTCAGCACCGAGTACTCCACGTAACCCTTACCTCTCTTGCCCTCCCCGTTCCTGGGCTTCTTCGACTTCCTCGAGACCCCGCCCCCGCCGCCGTACCCATCGCCGCGCAGGCAATCCTCCGCCGCCAGGGGCTGGCCGAAGGGGTCGGGGTCGGAGTCGTCGTAGTAGGAGGGCAGGTGGGGGGCGGTCGAATCTTGGGAGGAGAAGGCGTAGAAATCCTGGTGGGCCGCCGCCGCCGCCTCCTGGGAGGAGAGGGAGTCCCCGTAGGGGTCCAAGATCGAGTCACCGTCGTCGTCGTCCATCGAGCCGGAGTAGCCCCGAGAAATGCCGCGGTTCCTGCGACCGTAGGTCCGGACGATCATCGCCGCCGCACCGCCGGAGGAGTGGGGGGAGCCGTCGCCGTCGCCGTCGCGCGGCGGCGGCTTTCTTGAACACAATCGGGCTCGATGCGGCGGCGGAAGACCGGAGGAGGGATTGGATTTGAATCTGGGGGGTCGTTGGGGGGACCCAAGAAGATGGATTTGGGAGGTGTTAGGGATGATTTGATGTTGAGGATGAGATGTGGGTCGGGGCTAGAGAGTTCTTGAATTCGAGCTGAAGAAGAAGAACAAGAACAAGATGAAGATGAAGATGAACAAGAAGATGAAGAAGAGGAAGAGAGACAAGTGGTTGGATTTTGCCGATCTTGGTTTTTGGGGTTTTCGGATTTTCGAAAAAAAAAAGATTTCCTTTGCGGACCCGTTTTTCCCGACCCGGTTCGGCTCGTGGAATTCCGTGCGCCGTCGTATCGCTGTGGCATCGAGATGGGACAAGGGTGCTGGCCATTCGTGAACTTTAAGGTAGGAGGGGTTGCCATCTCTGAATTTTGACCTCGCGTGCAATGTAATTTATGAATTCTTAATTTATTCAACGTGATCTCCGAATTATCTCCCGACTTTTAATTTGTTCAATGCAATCTCTAGACTTTAAATTTTTTCAATGTAGTCCATGAATTTTAATCTAATGTGCAGTATAGTAGTCCTTGGACTTTGTATTTGTTCAATGTAATCCCTAAAATTTTTGAATATTTAAGTTAGTTCCTGAACTATATGATAATATTTGATACCGTCCTTTCATTAATTCAAGTCTAAGGGCAACATTGAACATTTTTCCAATAGTCTAAAGACTAGATTGAACATGTACCAAAATTTCAGGGACCGCATTGAACAAATTGATAGACCAAGGACCACATTATATATTGGGTTATAATTCAGTGATCACGTTGAAAAAATTAAAAATTCAAAGACCACATCACTTATTGGGCCAAAATTTATAGGCCATTTCCATAATTATTCCGAGATAATATTCAATGTCCAAGAGCTGGATTTTTTTTGTCAATTTCCGTATAAATTTTCTAGCTCATAAAACCTTCATTTACGTAATGAGGACGTAGCTCACCATTTTAAGCTATCGCATGAACGTTGATCGGACTTTCGATTGAACAGCGGTTTTGTTTCCTACGATGTCATTATGGGTTTAAGTACAGAAAAATGCGAAAGAGAAAAGCCTAAAACTCTAGGACTGAGAGAGTTTGTGTGTGATGGAGCGGAGGGGAAAGGGAGGCTATCGCGGCCAGGCGGCAGTGGCCTGGCCACCGGCGAGGGGCCCGGCTTCCTTCGTTGAGCACCCGTTGAAGCCACCGCCATCACCTTGGAGACCATAGGCCGGAGTGTCGCGATCTCGAATCACGGGGGTGCAACCTAGGCTCATGGTGGCAATGGTGAAAAGAGAGCACCGCCACAGGTCTCCAGTGGCTGCTGTGACAATGGCGTGTTCGATGACAACAAAGATGTCGTTTCCAACGGGGGGGTATTCTTCTCCGGCAGCTTCGACACAACACGATCACTATGTGCATGTTCGTGCAACGTAGCGGGAAAGGTGGCGCCTCCGGCTTAAGCACAGCAAAGGTCACCGAGCCCTCATGATGGTCACAGCCAAGCTCGAGTCCAACCGAAGCTCGTGTTGCCCGGATCCACCACCTCGACGACCATCAAGCCACCCCTCGTCGCCTCCTGTGCGCGTCCTTCCAACCTACAAGCTCTATCTCAAAATATGCTAATTTACCTGCTTCATTCAATAACTAATCAACCTTCTTTGATAATCAATCTCCAGGAATTAGCTGTGCTTTGATAACACAGAGGAGAGCTTTGACTAATCCGCAAATTGCGATGTCCCGTTTCTAATGGCGGTGGCAGCGGCAACTGCTCTGCTTCAGGGAGCAGCTTGGAGCTCTGGTTAGGATTTAAATTCTAATTTCGGCTTAAACACAATTTCATGGTTTCGCAAAACCGTTTCCATTTTCAAGACATCAATTTCCTAGCATCGAATATGAAGTAGCAAACACCAAGTTAGCGGCTCGCCGGGTATATTCGTCACATGATGTACTTTCTCTTTTTCCCTTCTAATCTCCTTGTTAATGGAGTAAAAGCGTGTTGATCTGCGTAGCTGTATCTTCCTTGTTATTCAGTTCACAATCTTCTCATGAAGAATGGATCTCATTCTCAATCTCAAGCATTTCCAGCTATTTTTAACCGTTCTTTTGCCCCGTGAGGACGGCAGACAATTGCTCCGGTAGAGATCTGTCACCAAGCGAATGACAGCGCTAGATAGAACTAAAAAAAGAACCTGATCAACACAGAACAAGTTCGCAATACAGAGAAAACAAGGGTCAATTTGTTGCTGCACCTATAATGCAATCCGCGTCGGGTAATTGGATATGATTTAAGAAGTTGAAATTCCGACTCACACACAGATATGAAGCAGAAAGCCCACGAACACAGCTATGCTTAAACCGAAAGTAACATATATTGATTTAAGCGTCAAACAATCAAGTAATCGGACAGAATTGCTGCACCTACAATGCCCATCAGGCACAATAAGGAAACCGTATCTGCTATACCATTCGATGAGGTCAATGGAAAATAAATCTTGTGCTTGTTGCTGTCGCCCCTGAAGCCTCTAATAATCATCGCCTGTCAAACCCATCAATTTGAAGAATCAAAGACAACAAAGCACAGGTGGGAAACTGCTTTTAAAGCTAAGCACTGTAAACGAGCACTATTGGCCTGCAAAGTTGATTCTACATCAGCATAGGTTTTTCGAATTCTCGAGTGATATCCAACTGGGCTTTAAATAAACACTGAGGAGCCAACAGACAAATGCAAGGTGTTGGAGCACGATGCAAGGATCTTGTTAAGGAACGAACGGGATACTTACTCTTAACAGTCAAAGTGAACCGAAAATCAGTGATTCTGATTGATACGTGAACTATTGGACTCAAAACCACAGAACTTAGACACCAAACCAAGAATTGAAGTCCCTACTGCTACATTTTCATCTCAAATTTCACATACAGGTTGATCAACCCTTGCTCCTTGAGGGTTCCAATGAGATATTCAATCTCAATTCACATACAATAAAGATAAATTAGATGCATTGCCACTCCAATCTGACAGCCTCTAGGCAGAGCTGTACAAAAACTCTCTCTCTAACTCTCTCTCTCTCTCTCTCACACACACACACACACACACACCCGCTCGCGCACCCTCAAATCAAAGTCACGCACAATCAAATCGTCTCTGCAACAGTTTCATTCACTTTTGGAGCACAACTTTTAAGAAAGGATCTTAAAGTTTGCTTAAAATCATGCAAACAATTATCTGACATACCATCACACCAAGAGGAGTAAATAGGTGATTTTTTTTTGTTCAAAAGGAAATATGGCATATCCTGAAGTGGCACATTGCTAGATATAACTGCTGGCCACAAAATTTCAGATAGACCGCACTAAATTTCAGCAGAAACTGAGAATCTAACAAAGCCTCTAGACTGTATAACGTGATAACATTACATCTCAAGTAGTACTAGCTTTGCAATCCCAGATAATTCTAAGGACATTCAGCAACCCTATCAAGTGTGCCTAGATAATTCTGAATGTGAAAGACTTAATTTCAAGAAGTTCATCTCTTTGACTCAGGTTTTGCAGATGGTGTCAAGCTAAGATGACAGCTGTGTATAAAAGTCTAAAAATTAACAGAAAAGAGAGTAAAACTACCATGCCAACATTGTCCTATGAACGATTTCCTAAATTTAACTTAGGTCTATGCTTTAGTATTGTCAGCTACAGACAGATTTCTTTATTTGTTCTCCAAATTGGTATTTTCCATTTTCTTGGAATGGCTACTGTAGCGTAAGATTGAGATATGAAACAGTAATTTCCTTTCAATTCATTGTTGCATGAACCTTTTCACAATGCGAGCGGTGAGAAAATCGTCTGATTATCAGAAAAGGGTTAGATAGTTTCTCAGTTGGCAATTGGTGGACCTAAAATGAACGCAACACTTCGCTACATAAATTTGAAGAAGGAACTATAATTCCAGAGCAGAATGATAAATAAACCTGTGAGATCTGCTCGGCATGGGTAAATATATTTTTGAAGATCCGGCGAATGTAGGAAATGAACACTGCATCGTAAAAACCAAAACAATTATAATTAGTAGAGTAACCATAAAAGTCGAATAGTGTTATAACAACGAATATTCTTTATTAGCAAGACAGCTTAATGTACCCACACTCTTCATTATGTTTTATCTTCAAGGTCATGATCCTTTGTGTGCAGTTTTACATAATATCAAGAAAGTCGAGTGAAGGAACATGAATAGGCAACGGAAAAAAAGAGAGAGGTGAACTAAATAAGTTTGGCTATACTGTATGCAAAAAGTTTTAAAAACAAGATGAAAAGACTACTGAGACAGCAAATAAATGTAAATTCATGCTCCGGGCAACAGGGGCAGACTCCTGTGAGAACAGATTAATATAACTACTAAATGAATATCACAATGATATTGATTGAGAGTTCCCACCAATTGAGACAATGTATGTTCTGATAGATTGTAGCAATACTATTATTCTTCTATCTGCAGTAGTAGGTCATACTTTGCACGAGTTGGTGCTTCCATAAGCATTTCTAAAGGACAGGTTTTTTCCTTTCTGCCCTCCACCCACAAAGCCAAAAAAAACTGACTGAAGAAAAGGAGGATACAAGATGCACGGGAGCAAAACATCAGTGAATCTCCATCACCGTGACTAAAAGATATTGAACCCGAGATGTTTTGACACGTCTGTATAAAAGAGAATTAAAAAGTAACCAGTGATCTGACTAAAAAGTTCCACTTTTCATGCTGACCAAAATCTTCTCAAAGCCAACTAAAAGATGACTAAAAGCCAATAATGGACGCTAGTGATATAGTTTTTACCATCAATTGTCTCCATCATGGTCAACTTGTGCCAATTTATTCTACGAGATACTATTCCAAGTGCCACATTACGGACCTGCCATTGAAGTGGACATATCAAACATATGAGACCAAGCAGGAAACCCAACAGATTGATACTGAAGAAACTCATCCGACCAATTATAATCTTACCTCATCAAATACAAGATTGATGAACCTTAATGAGAGCAAGAGGGTGAGGATAATTTCAGCAACTGGCGCACCAACATAACTAAATGGGAGCATATACCACTTCAAAGCAGATGCTAGTTGTTCCGGTGTTGTAGTTGTTAGACAAAGGCTCGCACCTTGGAAAATCTTCAAAAGGAAGAATGACCTCTCCTCAGGACATCTTATTTTTAGTCTATATATGCAATTGATAGAACTTGAGAACATGAAAATTCCATAAAATGAATATACCATTGCAAGAAAAAAAGTTTAATCACTTCTCTTTGAAGAAATGCTTCTTAGAAGTTCGTTCCACATCAATCTAATATAAAAGAAAATAAGACAAGTATATAGGCTCAAGTATTTAACTCCACATTACTGAATTCACAGTGAACTACATGTTACTGAATTCGATGTGAAGTGCAACTAAATAAGGATAATTATAAGCAACTCACAGTGAATGTTAAACAAGCAGCTGTGCTAGCCACTGACAAGCCCTTCTTCGTAAATTGTAGTGGTCCCAGCTTCATAATTAAGTATGAATAACCTTCAAAAGATGGAGGAACAGTGGGCAATCCGACCATTGCGGGGGGTGGGGTTCTTGACTGGACTAATGGAGGCACGCCATCTGATCCGAATCCCAACATTATAAAGAGAATGCCAGAGAGCAACGATACTCTTGCCAGTTGATCCTAAAATAGCTGAACAAGTAAATAGGAAATTCCACCAGAGGGGAAAAGGAAAGATAAAATCCAGTCAAGAAACAAAGCACGGCCATTCTTACATGCTCAATATCAATAAATAAAGAGAATGTCCAGTCAAATATGTTTTCAACCATTCAGAGTTAAAACATATTAGACTGTTCAGCTGATTCCTTTTTGTCATTGTCCCTTGATAAACAATCCTGAAATGGAATGAGTCCAAGAAGGGCACGGAATAGCCAGTTCAACAAAGAGACAAACATAAATATAACAAACAACTGTAACTGGACAGAGGAATGATTATTTCCCTCCCAACACCATGTAGTTGTTCTGAAGACCACAAGCCATAAGCAAGAGAAGATAATTCCTCTTATTGCCAGATATGACTTAATTTTACAAAAGGAATAGAAGAATGGAAAACCAGACAGAGTCCCAAATTCTAGACCGTGCTCCTCAGATGCTTCAGTTATTTTTCTATGGAAAAACACAAACAATGATCTGTATGAACTAAAGGTATCCAGGGAAGCTCATTAAACGAATCTTAAAAGTATATGTAACTGTTTGTGTCAACAATTGAACAGATCAACTCACCATCCATGTTTGTCTTGGTAGGATCCACACAGAAAGCAAGGCCAGGTACAACACTAGCCCAAAACGCATTATTATGTGGGACCTGGCCGGTAAAACAACAAGAACCAGAAGCCAAACCTGCAAGCCAAAGACAATCAGGAAATTAAGAACCCGTCTAGCTCTTGTAGAAGGTGAAGTAATTGCTTGAACTATTCGTACAGGCAGCCATTTGTTGTTTTGGAGAAAACATCATAGAAGCAAGTGGATAAAGGTGAGAATCAGTCTTGCATATGAAAAATAGATCGTGTTACGTAAAATTTTTTGAATTTAAAAAAAAGGATCCATCATAAGCCTTTTTTTATTATCAAAAGAAGCCACGCGCACAGCTTTCGAATTTTTGGTGCAATTAGAGGAGAAGAAAAAATTCTTGATAAAATAGTGTGACTCCAGATGCCACAATGTCAGAGCTTAGTTCTGCTTACTAGAATCAATGGCAGTGCACAGCAGCTGGAGATAGCAACTGCCAGAAATAACTCGATGGTAAGGGAGCAGCTGGTCAAAAGCTAAACACTTCTACAGTGTCAAGGATCATGTCTAAAAGCTGTCAATTCATGTAAGACCAGTGAAAAAGCAATCAGTGCCCCTCCAAGCTGCGGCTACAGAACTAAAAATGCGGAAATGGCAGGCTTAGTATATGGAAATATTCTAGTTGACACAGCCCCAAAAAACACGTGCAAATCCCCATTGCCTAAACTCAATGCGAATCGACACTCGAAAGTTCCCCTTCTCTTTCTAAAGTATTCGCAAGCGAAGGGAAAACCAAGAAGTCACACTGCCTCATACTTCTCTATCATTCCCAGAACTTCGGACTGAATCAAGAGATTGACAGATATATAAACACAGAGAGTTCAATACCAATGTCAAACAATCATGTAAGAGATCATGCTGATGAACAACCGCCAAACAACCAACCAACAAGTCCCAACACAGCACGAAGTTGAATTGCGAAAATAATTCGGCACGGGCGAAAATCGTTAAAGAAAAAAAAAAGAACACCCCAACAAGGAAATCGCCTCACCAGCTTGATCCTGGGATCCACCGAATGCAAGAACGTGGTGGGCGCCGCCACAAACTGGCTGATGGGGCTGGCGGTGGCATTGGCGATCAGCCTCAGCACCTTATCGGCTCCCACCACGCCCCTCGGCAACCGGTTCACCCAGCTCTCGACTCCTCCCCCTCCGCCGCCGCCGCCGTCTTCGGCCGACGACCTCGCCCGGAAGCTCCTCCTCGGCAAGACGAGCGGGCTAGGGTTTCGGCGGCTCGGCCTCAAGCTCCGGGCCGGCGAGGGCTTGAGGGCGGGGGTCTGCGGGAGGGGAGCGATGGGTACGGACTGGAATGCGCAATTCGTGCAGTTCATGGATGGAGACGAGGGCGAATTTGAGAGAGGTTTTGAGCAGAAGATTTTGCAGAAATGGAGAGAGAGAGAGGAAGAAGGAAGCAGTGCGAGCTGAAAATGGCGGGAGTTCAACGGTTAATTAATTATTTTTGGGGGATGAAAATGAAAATAATCCAAATATATTGAGCCAAAATATTTATTCGGAATAATAATACGAATAGTCCCTGCCTTTTGCTTAATGTGCAATGTGATCCCTGAACTTTAGCCCAATGTGCAATGTGGTCCCCGAACTTCTAATTTGTTCGCATAGACTTTTGGTACATGTTCAAGATTACGTGAAATATTCAATGTTATATTTCCATTAATTTAAGTTCATGAACAATATCGAACATTTTCATATAGTCAAGGGATAGATAAAACATGTATCAAAAGTTCGTGGACCGCATTGAACAAATTGAAAGTTTGGGGACGATATTGCACATTAAGCTAAATTTCAGGAACCGCGTTGAACAAATTAAAAATTCAACATTGGGCATCAGTTCAGGGACCATTTATATCATTTTTTCTTAGGGTGCGATCAGTTTTCGGTCCGGTTTCCGATTCCACAGGCCGGTCCAGTTCCAAGGTAGAATCGAGAACCAAACCAAGAGGGTTGATTCCCAAAATTGGGAATCGGAGACCGGACCGGCCCGTTTCCAGTCCAATGGAACCGATTACTTTTTTTTTTCTACTACTTGATGACATATTTTCATGTTAAATTAAGTGATATGTATGCAATGATCCTCAAATTAAGAAGACGAATTAAAAAACGTGCTTCACTTAGAGTTTAGTTCACATTTTATTAATTTTTTGAAGAAATAAAAATAAAAAGTATATGTAATCGGTCCGGTCCGGTTTTCTTTGGAATCGGGAACCGAACCGCCCGGACACCGATTCCATTTTTAGGAACCGAGAACCGGACCGACACTCCTGGGAACCAGACCAAACCGGGTAGTCCGGTCCGGTCCGGGCGGTTCCCGGTTTGGGCGGTCCGTTTTGCACGCCCCTAATTTTCCTTATAATTTTTTTCGGCAGAAATTGAAATAAACCCAGCCCTTCTATGCCATGCGAATCATGTTTCCGCTCATTATGAAACTCCATCTTTTCGAAAACCGATTTTTTTATTTCCAGAATGGTCTAGAGAAAGCGAATCAGCGAATTTCTTGCGAACATCATCACCGTGCTAGAACGGCCCGGCTAGTGCTTTGAAAATGACCAATTTTCGTTATTTAGATGTTTAATAAGTATCTCGATAGCACCCTTTGATATAATCATTTTTATAATTTAAAGATTGGACGGGCATAGGGGGGAGTGTAGTTAAAGCTACGGGCCATATTCCAAATCCATTAAGATGAAGTTTGATAAAAATTGGCCTAGTTCCCTAAAAGACCCTTTGTTTTTAAGTTCAGTCCCAACCTTGTTCCGAACTTGTTTTTAAAAAAAACAATAAAAAAACTTTAGGTCTATTCTGAAGTCAGCCCGAATTTTTTTTTTTGGTTAAAATTTCAAAAAAGGTCGGTCTCAATCGGTATGGATTTTTTATCTAAAAATCATCAACCTTAACTGTGTCTCAAATCTCGCCACGAACTTTTTTGTTTTAAAAAAGAAATCACCAACTTTCAATTCGATCTCGAATCTACCCCTGTCAACCCTCCTCCGTCCAAAAATCGACATTAGTTGTTTGACGTGATATTTTCACGTTGCTAACAGATCCACATTATCAAGATGACGTGAAAAGTTATCTCAAAAACAAAATCGTTCTTTGATATGAAAACTGGGAAAACTAGGGATGACTAATGACGTTTTTCGGACAAAGATCCAACGGGGGCAGATTTGGGACTAGAGTTATTTTTAGACAAAAAAAAAAGTTCGGGATATATTTAGGATTGAACCTAAAGTTGTTCATTTTAGGGAAAAAAGTTCAGGCTAAATTTGGAATTAGCCTAAAGTTAGGGCTTTTGAAAAAAAAAATCATACCAGAATTAAGACTAGATTTAAAATTGAGATTTTTTAGAAGATTAGGCCGAAATAACTAGGGCAAAAATACGTGTATGTATACGTATATGTACATGTAAATGTGTATCTTGACATTTGTTGCCTGCAAGAATAATTACAAAGCCCAAAAGAGGAGGCAACCAGTCACGCGACAAGACGAAAGTGAGGTCAACTTTCGACAATAGAAAGACCGGATCAAATCGTTACAGCTCCGTGCTCAGGTCATCATGTTGCCACTGTTTTTCCCACGCTTAATCAACAAATTCTTGTCCGTATTTTGGATGAAATATGAAATTTACCCCGAAATCGGGGTTATAATTAGTTTAGGGACCAAATCCGTCACGTAATAAAATACGAGAACCGAAATTGAACATGTCAACAGTGTAGGGACCGTTTTTGTAACTTCTCCTCATTGCATGTTAGAGCAGCATGCTCATCTTCGGCACTCGTTAGCGATTTCCGTTGGAGATCGATGTAGGGACCAATTCTGTCACGATGTAAAATACGAAGACCGGAACTAAATATAGGCGAACGTGGATTGTTTTTAAAATTCCTACGATTTAAATCTGACTTGGGCATCTTACCTGTAAGTTTTTTTTTTTTTTTTGCCTCTTCTAATTATGTATGCTTTCTCTTTTAGCAGTCAGGTGGCATCCAAGCCAATTGTCGTGCACCCTTTCCACTGATGTATGTCTTTTACTTGCTCTCGTAAAGTAAATAATCTTTAAATAATCCCTAAACAGGAGGAATAATTTTTTGGCAGATATATAAGGTTGACATGTGTTTTAATAAGGGATAATAGCACAAATAGTCTATGAGTTTTGGTCAAATGTACAATGTCGTCCATGAATTTTTAATTAATGCAATTTGGTTCATGAACTTTGACCTAATGTTGCAATATTATCCTTAGACTCTTACTTTGCTCAATTTAGTCCATGCTATATGAAAATGTTTATAAATTCAAGAACAACATCGAACATTTGACCAAAGTTCAAGTTCACATTGGTTCAAGTACGACATTGCACATTGGACCAAGGTTCAGGGACCATATTGAACAAAATTAAAAGTTCGGGAACGACACAGCACATTGGGTTAAAGTTCGGGGACCACATCGAACAAATTAAAAGTTTAGGGATGACATTCAAGAGCTATACATGTCATTTTCCCTTTCTAGACTAACAAATTGGTTGCACATTCCTTTGTTTCTTACTTAGAGAATTCAATAAAGTCTAATTATAATTTTGATCCAATGTGCAATGTGGTCCTTGAACTTTTAATTCATTCAATATAGTCTCTAAACTTTAACCCAATGTGTAATGTGGTCTCTAAACTTTTAATTTATTCGATGTCATCTCAATTTAGTCCCTGAACTATATGAAAATGTTTAATGTAGTCCTTCCATTAATTCAAGTTCAGGGACCATATTGAACATTTTCATATAGTTCAGGTACTACATTGAATATGTGCCAAAAGTCCAGGGACTACATTGAATAAATTAAAAGTTCAGGGACCACATTGAACATTAAGCTAAAGTTTAGAGACTACATTGAACAAATTAAAAATTTAAAGACCAAATTACACATTATATTAAAGTTTGGAGACCATTTATGTCATTATCCCTATAATTTTTTGTCTTCCCATTGCTTCATAGGCTTAATTTCCTAAAAAACCCATAACTTTAGGTCAAGTCCCAAATCTGCCTCGAACTTTTTGTCTCGAAAAAACCCCAAACTTTAGGTCTAGTCCCAAATTTGCCCTAAACTTTTTTTCATCTCGAAAAAATCCCAAACTTTAAGTCAGTCCCAATCTGCCCGAATTTTGTTTTATGTAAAAAAAATTACCAAAATTCAATTTATTTTCAAAATATACCCCGTGATCAAATCCCAACTTAACGTGGCACTTCCACGTCGATAACAAATATATATCAACACAGTAATAAGGCTTTTTTAGACAAAAAAAGTCCAGAAAATTTAATTTGAGCCTAAAAGTTAGGTTTTTTAAAAATTTTAAAAAGTTTTTTGGGGTGGATTTGTTATCGTCCTTAACTTTCGTCTCCTAAAATAGTTTTATTTCGGAGAATTTCAACAATTTTTATTTGGTTTGATTTGTCATTGAAGTGGAAATGCTACGGCGTCGGTTCAACATCTATCGCCCCATCACTTTCTTTGATGAGAATTTGTTATCGATGTGGAAGTGCCTACATTAAGTTGAAAGCCCCTGGATACACGGGGTATATTTTTGAAAAAATAAATTGAAAATTTGCTGATTTTTTACATGTAAAAAATAAAATTCGAGAAGTAGATTTGGGACTAATTTAAAGTTATGATTCTTTTTTTTAGACAAAAAAAAAAAAAAAAAGCAAGCCCGAGAGTAGATTTTGAGTGGGCCTAAAGTTTGGAGGTTTTCAGACAAAAAAAAAAATTACGGAGTAAATTTGAACTTGATATAAAGTTTCGGGTTTTAAGGAATTCTTTGCTGAATCTTGCTTCATGACCAAACCAACTCTTAATTATTCTGGCCATTAGCTAACCCAAAAAGAGGGCCCCCAAAAAAAAAAAAGTTTGACACGTGTCAAGGGAAAGCTGGCGCCACGTGGCAATCCTCCCCGACACTCAATAAAATCTACGCCCTTTTCTGCTCAAACGCGTCATGGCGGTGCGTAAAGCATAGTGCCATTAGACTTTAACAACAATCCCAACAGACCCAAAAAAAGGAGAAAAACAGCAATCCCATCGCCATCTGCCAATCCCCCCACTCTACTTTTATCCATAAATATCAATTTTCTTTAGGATTTGTTTCTTAATTACTTAGAAATATATTCATTAATCGAGTAATATTTCCCTTTTCTCGACCAGAGAAAAAAAGTTAATATTTCGTCTCGGCCGCTTTACCAAACCCATTTTTTTTTATATGAAAAAGGGTTAAAGCCGGATACAAAAAATTTAATATCGTAAATCTACCATCCCTATTTTATCGCCTGATAAAACAAGAAGTAAGCCAATTCCAAGATTAGCAAGCCAATCAACGGAGAGATTTCCTTACCGAAAGATTACGAAACTCATTTTAGATTCAACAGCAGTCGCTCTAGATCCTTAATTTATTTTTAATTATTCAGTAATATGGTAATATTTTTAATTATTCGTAAAATCACTTTCGAGATTATTTTTCAATTATTTAGCAGTATTCCGTAAGCAAGTAACAAAGGGCGTCGTGAAATTAACTTTTTATTTTCCTTAGGCCAGTTTACGGAACCCTTTTTTTAAATTCAACAGCAATCGTACTATATTCCTAATCTATATTTTAATCATTTGGTAATATAGTAATATCCCCTGATCGAGTAAGGATGCGCAACTCTACTTATATTCGCATTAAATACATTTTCAAGATTAATTTTCGATTATTTAGTAGCATTCCGTAATCAAGCAACAACGGGCATCGTGAAATTCACTTTTTTTTTTAATTTCCTTTAGCCACTTTACGAAGCCCATTTTCAGATTCAACAGCAACCACATTATATTTTTAAGTCAATTTTTTTTTTCCTTTTCTCTTTCCGGCCACTCTACAAAAACCCTTATATTTTCAATTTATTTTTCTTAATCATCTAGTAATTTCGTAATATCCCCTAATCGAGCAAGCATGGGCCTTGCTCAAATTAATTATTTTCACATCATCGTAAATTAAAATTAAAATAATAACAATTATTAAAATCGAAATTACTATTATTTTGGGTCAAAAGATTATCATTATTATATTCACGTGTATTATCATCGTTATCGTCACCACGCGCGAGCGCTGTTCTTTTGACCTCTCGCCATCTGGATCTAGGGTTTCTAGTTTTTTCGCCCCCCCGCATTTTCCTTTCGTCGACAGAAAACTCCAGACTTTCCTCCTCCTTCCTTCTCCGTCGTCTTCTTCTTCATCACCTTCAAACCGCCGCCGCCGCCGCCAAACCCTAGCTCCGACCGCCGCCGCCTCCGCTTCCCCTTCCCCTTCGCCGGTTCCACTCCCGAGAACCGAGCGAAACTCGATCCCCCATCTCAGTCCTCCTCCTCCCTTGACGATCCCCTTAGTAGCAAATCCCCGCTTGACACGGCTAAAGAAAATTAGGGTTTGGAGCTTCTTCCCCCTTGTCCGTCATCTCGGCGTCCGCCGCCGTCGTCGAAACCGGTCGCGGATCTAAGCAAATTTTTTTTCAAAAGGGGTACACACGCGCACGAGAAAAGGGCCAACCTAAAATTTTTTTTCTCTTTTTTTTTTTCCTCGACTGGATCGGTCTTCCCGTTTGACCTTTTCCGTCGGCTTCACCTAAAAAAGAACAAATCAGATCGGCAAGGCCTTAAAAAGGGTACCCGTGATTTGATTCGATCTTGATGGATTGATGATTTATTAAAGGGACGGACGGACGGACGGATTGAAGGAGGGAGGGGTGTTTACCGATTGACACAGGGAGTGGGGAGGGAACATGTACAAATCGGTGGTGTACCATGGGGAGGAGTTGTTGGGGGAGGTGGAGGTTTATCTGCAACAGCTGAGCAGGGATGATGGAGGAGGAGGGGAGGAAGAGGAGAGTTGTTACCAGAGTAGGAAGGAGAAGGCGAGGATGGTGGAGGATGTGGTGAAGGAGAGGGTCAGGGTCGATCACCTGTCTCAGCCCAGTGAGAGGTGCCCTCCACTTGCAGTGCTCCACACCGTTGCATCTTGTGGGATTTGCTTCAAAATGGAGTCCCAATCCTCCCTGTCACCGGACTCGCCGCTCTCCCTTTTGCATTCCTCCTGTACCAGAGACAGCAAGGTATATCAGCACATAACCATGAACTTCAGGAACACCCAGATAATTGAACAACAAGAATTCGAAAAAAAAAAAGGGAAAGAGAAAAAACAGGGGAAATACCCATAAAGATTAAGAGCTTAGTACACATGAATTGGCAATCAAGGCGACCCTTTAATTTTACTATGGACTGTGGACAAATTATTGAGAACGGATTATATGACATGCACCTCTTTTTCTATTTTCGAGAGTTTCAGGGAACTCCCAGAATGAATGGGCTCCTAAACTGTGCAGATTTGTTCTTATTATAGAACTCTTGTCTTGATTGACTTGAACCCTTGTTCCTCAGCTTGCTGAAGTTGGACTGCTGTAATGAGATTTCGATGATGCTGGAACTATGCCATTTGATATTAATGACTGATTTCTACTTGTATTTGACATGGATGTGGTCTGGAAACTGCTGTTTCCGTTGATGGATGACAATTGAGTACTTAAATCATGTTAGCGGATTTCAGTAAATGATTGACTGCAATGTTTGGAGTATTACACAATGTACCATAGGTGTCTGGACTTGTTGATATCTCAAAAGTTGAAGAATTGTCAGAATTTTGATGTTTTTAGTTGGTCTTATGAACAAGGTGATTTCTAGCATAAAATTTCACAATCTATCTCTGAGGACAATACATTGAATTCTGGTGAACATGTGGAGTCGTATTGGTGTGAACATGCGGGCATGTATGGTATACAGATTACCTGCGAACAGAATTGCATTGAATCACTAGCATTAACCCACCTCACTTCTACAATCATTTGTACAAGAATAAGAAGTGACGCATGCAAACAGAATCTCACCTCATATAAGGCTATGAGGAGAGCTTGCTGTAGAGAAACTCATAAATTACCTGATCTCTGTCATGTTTGGTGCTTGATATCAGTTTCCTTGAATTGATGTTTTTTATTTTCCATACTCATTTTCAGACTGCAGTTATGCCACTCGGAGAAGATGAACTTCACTTGGTTGCCATGTACTCCCGGAATGGTGATAGACGACATCCATGCTTCTGGGGGTTTTGTGTCCCGTCAGGACTTTACAGTTCTTGTCTTGTCATGCTTAACCTAAGGTGTCTTGGGATTGTATTTGATCTTGATGAAACGCTCATTGTTGCAAATACCATGCGATCCTTTGAGGATAGGATTGAAGCTCTCCAACGCAAAATAAATTCCGAGTCAGATCCGCAACGCATTTCTGGCATGCTTGCAGAGGTGAAGAGGTATCAGGACGATAAGACGATTCTTAAGCAGTATGTCGACAATGATCAGGTTGTTGAGAATGGGAAAGTGATCAAAGCTCAGTACGAGAATGTCCCTGCGTTATCTGACAACAGCCAACCTTTTGTTCGGCCGCTTATACGGTTGCCAGAGAAAAATATTATTCTGACCCGCATTAATCCGCTGGTATGCATGTAATGCTGAGCAGTACTTGTGCCTATCCACTGATGTTTGTCTCTGTTTATATGTTTCTCGCGACTGACATGCACATTATAAATGTTATCTTGTGGGATTTTCATTCTCTTTTAAAAAAATGTGTATCATGATTTTCTGCAATATTGACTCGACTGCAGCTAGTATTTTGTGTCTATGAGAAGGCTGGCACGTACTGTACCACAATTATTTTTGCGATATTAATCTTTTGCCCATGCAGATTCGCGATACAAGTGTTCTTGTGAGGTTGAGACCTGCATGGGAGGAACTTCGGAGTTACTTAACTGCTAGAGGGCGCAAGCGCTTTGAGGTTTATGTTTGCACTATGGCTGAAAGAGATTATGCTTTGGAAATGTGGAGGCTTCTTGATCCAGAGTCAAGCTTGATACAGTCAAAAGAAGTTCTGGAGCGCATTGTGTGTGTTAAGTCTGGTAAGTCACTTAAGTTTGTTGCAGCTCCTATCCCCTTCTCCATCTGGCTAATGAAATTATATATTTGATGAATGGCCTTTCATTGTCAGTTTTTTGGGAAATTATGAATAGCCTCGTGTTGATAGACGCACTTTCAGTATCTTTGGTTGGTTGTATCATAGAGTATACTGATTTTTTTTTTGATCTCATCGTCTGTTGCTTTGCACAGGTTTAAGGAAATCACTGTTTGATGTCTTTCAAAATGGAATATGCCATCCTAAGATGGCATTGGTGATTGATGACCGTTTGAAAGTTTGGGATGAGAAAGACCAACCTCGTGTTCATGTTGTTCCTGCATTTGCCCCATACTATGCTCCTCAAGCTGAGGTACAAGAATGAGGTTTCTCTGCTGCTTGAAGTTGTGGATGTGCTAAGACATATTTGCCCTGCAAGTTGAAGAGTTTTCTTTATCATGTCTGATCAGCATTCGTCATAATTTTTTTCCCTCTCTGTTTTACAGGCAAATAGTGCTGTTCCAGTATTGTGTGTTGCAAGAAATGTTGCTTGTAATGTCAGAGGTGGCTTTTTCAAGTAAGTCAGCAAGGACCTTTGTGGACATCTTTCTGTCGTATGCATGAATACGCTAATCCTATGATATCCTTCCGTATAACTGGGGTTTAAATTTAATATTTGAAACAGAGAATTTGACGAGGGTCTTCTACAAAGAATTTCCGAAGTTGCATATGAAGATGACACAAGAGATATCCCTTGTCCTCCCGATGTGAGCAACTATTTAGTTTCAGAGGTTAGTTGTGACTGTCGTCTCCTAGGCTAAATACTAACCAAGTACTGGTTACATAGCTCTGTCTTTTTGCATCATATTCTCACCACAATTGAACCAAACTATTTCAGGATGACACTTCTGCCTCGAATGGAAATAAAGATCCACTTTCTTTAGACGGAATGGCAGGTGCTGAGGTCGAAAGAAGATTGAAGGTACATAATATCTTTCTTGAGGTCAACATGGAAAGCTCTATAGTATTTTTTTTTTTGGTAAGGCCATTATTTTTTTTTGGTAAGGAAAGCTCTATAGTATTTATCGTTGCTTATTAGAAAGGATTTCGTTAATGAGTGCCACAGGGGCACTGGTTAAGCAACTACTCTAGGAAATTTTATAATTTCCATCGTACTGATTGCCCTCGTGGATGCACAATCATTGCCTTGAAAGTTGAATCATTTGTAATAATGTGTACTTGACAAGTGTGTGGGGCACTCATTAGCAAGACCCATTTAATAAAAAGAGAAAAAAAAAAGTGTTGCCCTGCTTGTGCTACCTTATGTTACTTGAGGAGTTGCTGGGTGAGAGGTCGTGGGAGCAGATCATTTTAACGATTTCATATCAAAATAGGGAAGCTTTTTTTCCCGTCTTTCGGGTTAGTAGATTATCTGCATTTGGAGTTTTCAGTTCAGCCTAGTGAAATCAATGTTGTAATGCAGGATGCAATTCCAGCTTCAATTGTCTCTTCGGCAATTACTAATTTGGATCCAAGGATACTTGCTTCTCTTCAGAATGCACTTGCATCTTCCGCAAGCACAATTCCTTTGTCCACATCTCAGACAACAGCTTCTACCTTTCCCAATACGCAGTTTCCTGAAGCCACTTCATTAGTTAAAAAATTTGGCCAGGCTAGTCCTCCAGAGCAGAGCATGCAGAGTTCGCCTGCTAGGGAAGAGGGTGAGGTGCCAGAGTCAGAATTAGATCCTGACACCAGGAGGCGGCTGCTCATCTTGCAACACGGGCAAGATAATAGGGATCAAGTTCCTGGCGAACCTCCATTTTCTGTGAGACCTCCGCCGATTCAAGTATCCGCTCCTAGGGCGCAGTCACATGGAACCTGGTTTCCGGTGGAAGAAGAGATGAGTCCAAGGCGACTAACCAGATCAGTTCCGAAAGAATATCCACTAGATTCTGAAATGCATATTGACAAGCATCGACCTCATCATCCGTCCCTTTTTCCCAATATGGAGAGTTCCATTCCTCCTGAAAGAGCTGTTCATGAAAGTCAAAGATTGCCAAAAGAGGTGAATATGGAAGTTGATTTGGTTGAATGATTCGAATCTGCTAAGCGAAATTTAGTTGTGAAGGTTATGCATTTGACCTTTTTTTCTTTCAGGGACATGGTAGAGATGACAGGCTAAAGCTAAACAATACTTTTTCCACTTATCATTCTATCTCTGGTGAGTTACAGCTATTTTCATGGGGTCGTTCATCGAAAACCATTTTGGATGTAAAGTGGTGTTTTTCTAGTGTCGGTAACATTGCCTATAGAGTTTGGCGGGGCCTGTAACTTTTGTCGAAGTTCTTTGTGTGATGTGAATGTTCTGTTAGACATTACCTTGTTCTTGCGCCGGGTATGGGCCGTGGTGTGGCGACGTTTTGATAAAGGACACCACTGCCTTGGTTAGGTCAATGCCATGCTGATAATTTTACTAATCTTTACTTTTGCCAATAGTCTTAAAATTTTCAGTTGTTAGTTTTTGTATAATATGACAGACATGTAGGAGTTCTGAATATCATTTCCATTACTTACATACTATATGCCCATTTGAGTGCATGTCTCATTGTGTTGCTTTTTTGGTTTTCTTGGATTAATATACTATTAGCACTTATGATGCAATATCAGTAGTTTTGTTATGTAGACTTATGTTCTCATTACTGATTGACTTGAAGGTGAGGAAAATTCTTTGAGTCGCACATCAACAACTGGTCGAGACTTCGACTCTGAATCGGGGCGACCTATACCAACTAGAGAAGCTCCAGCTGTTGTTTTGCAGGAAATTGCAATGAAGTGTGGAGCAAAGGTAATTAGGAAATGCCTTTATTATTGTTAAGGTTAAGTTAGAGTGCACTTTTCTGTAGTCCTTGGATCCATTAAAGTTTCATCTGTTCATTTGAACAAAAATTTGCAGGTGGAGTTCAGACCGGCTTTGCTTCCAAGCATGGATCTGCAGTTTTCTATTGAGGTACTCCCTCACTAGGAATGGTGTTCAGAATTCTTACTTCTACTCAACGTTTGTCACCTCATTGGATTTGAAAACTGAATCATCCACATTGTGTATAGGTCCCTTAGCCATAACATTCTTAGTTAAGTATATTTAAGAAGACGCTACTTATAGAAAAAGGTATATCTAAGAACACTTTACAAATTGATTTCTTTTGTAGGCTTGGTTCGCGGGAGAGAAGGTTGGCGAAGGGAGTGGTAGAACAAGAAGAGAAGCCCAACACCAGGCTGCTGAAGGTTCGCTGAGGCATTTGGCTGGTGAGATGCTCTCTTACAGTGTCCTGTTTACTGCCCTGTCATGGGTCTGTTTGACTGCTTAATCTTTATGGTTATTGGAAATGGTATCATAAGAAATATGTCAATTGATTTTCTGCCAAATGTAAGCATCTTCGAGCGTAGTTGACAGGACATAGGGAGGCTTGGATATGTAGAAACAACCTAAAATAAAGTTCTGTCCCCTGGTTAATCTGGCAGAAGTGACAATTGGAATTTTTGGTAAAATGAAATTACCGTTACCTGTTTAATTAAGCATTTTCGAATACTTTTATTGCTAAAATATGAGAATAGACTATTTTATTAAATCAGAAGAGATTAGCTGAACTGTTTGATTACTCAGTACGTCATAATGCTGTAGCTACTGTAGCTTATGTCAGATATGTTTTTGCCCGTAAAGACGCATGCAAAATAATTTACCCTCATTTTAGTACGTGTGTTTTTTCTGGCCGGATTTTATGTTATTTATGTTTATTTTTTGGGGCGGGGGAAGAGAATGGGGAGGCAGCCAATTGGGTCCTGAATTAACATGCCGGAAAATGTCAAGGTTAACTTGGAGAAGTATGAGAGAATTGATATCTCCCAAAGGAAATCCTGAGTGCATGATGGACTATGTATATCTCCTGGGAGAAAGTGCTGAAATTTTTCAGTAGATGATTGGGCTGTTCTTTGTCTTACCACTGCCAGAAAGGTTGTTCTTTTTGCTCTCTATAAGGATCAGCCATCATTTTACCCCTCGATCCTTATTTTCATCCTTTTGGGTACCAGTATGAGGAATTAGTTGGAAATATCCGTAAATTTTTGTATCCTTTTACAGAGAACATAAATCCGCATCTGCTTGAAAAGCCATCCTTTTCATGAATCTAGGTACTACAGTATTGTTTAAGCTGTAATCTGAGTTCTGCAGAGCCAGTTCCAGTGCTTTGTGGAATTCTACCTTGGGGTTGTGGGGGGGGCAAATAGTCCAGTGTCCAGCTTTTTTTGGGCCAAAGTGTACTATCTAATTTGAAGCCATGGGATATCTGTTTCAACAAACTCCATAAGATCAGAATGTGGAAGTTTGCTGCTCCTCTACTATGCATCTAAAAAGGAAAGAGTATTCCTCTACCATGTGCACCCACTAGATGTCCGAGAAGTTAGTGATAGCTAACTTATGATCAAAATGCAGTAGGAGCATTAAAATCTCTGCTCTACCAGCTTAGCTATCCCGACTATTCCTTTCACATCATCCTCATTTTACTAGACGACTTATTTCTGGTAGGTTCTAGGACTTGTTTGATCCCCAGAGTGTCTGGCTTGTTCCCTTCAGTTTTTGTTGTTATGCTTATAGATAACCCCCGAATAAACAGGCCTGAGGAAAATCCATGACAACTAAGATGTTTATGTCTTTCCATGAAACACACTGTACATGATGAATGAAAAACATAGTTATTAACAATTGCTTTTGAGCTCTTGAGGTTCATTTTTGCAGAACCATCAGAAAAAACTCAGAATATCTGGCTTCTTTGGAGCTTGAGTGTGTTAAACTTTTTAATTTCCATCTCCTTGAGTTTTTCAAGTAAAGTATTATCAGTCTTGCATTTCCTTGAAAAATTCATAAATCTTTGAATTTTTCACAACTCGTAACGTCGTGGATGGAATACTAAGAATTGATTTTCTATTCAGTTTATTGACTTTTTGCAATATTATTTTGCAGATATATACATGATGCGGGCAAAGTCTGATCCTGCTTCCAGACAAGGAGATGGAAATCGGCTATCACCAGCAAGGGAGAATGGATATTTCGGTAGTATTTACTCTTTTGGGAATCAGCCGTTGCCGAAAGAGGATCCTGTTCCTTATGCTACCACAGTTGAGCCATCAAGATTTCCAGACCCAAGATTTGAAGGCCCTAAGAATTCAACGGGCTCTGTTTCTGCTCTTAAAGAATTAGTGAGAAATTAATGAATTTTTTCAATCTTTTTGTATATAAATCAAAGCATGATTTACTTGTCCACTTAACAAGAACCATTCCTTTTCCTTTTGGTCATCAGTGCATGATGGAGGGTCTTGGTGTGGTCTTCCAATCCCCGCCACAGCTGGCAACAAATCCCATGCAGAATAAAGAGGTTCACGCACAGGTTGAGGAAATGCAATTTTGATACTCTTGACATTCTAATTTTGTGAACTTTAGAGCATCGATCGACTTCTTCATTTTGAATTCCTTGTTAATTAAAAGTCAATTGAGGAATAATGGCCTGGTTTAAGTGAATCAGACTCTTGACTCGAAGAAACTAATTTCTGACACTTTAAACTATATTGTCATTTTATTTCGCTTCATTGTGGTCGTGTGGAGGAGAATATGTTTCATTTTTTATGGCCTTTCCAAGAAACGACATGATTTGCTAGAACCGGAAAGGCTTATTATGGATTGTTTTGTGATGCACCCTTGGTTCTATTGTTGAAATTCGACTAATATTCTTTTCTACTCTACCATCAACTTTCAGGTTGAAATCGATGGGCAGGTTTTGGGGAGGGGAATTGGCTTAACATGGGATGAAGCTAAGATACAGGTAACTTCTCACAGAAATTCGATATATTTGACATGTCATGATTATTTTAAGCATCAGAGACGCAGATTATCTTTTCCAGGCTCTCTTAAGCACATTATTTCTTTTCTTAGGCTGCTGAGAGGGCTCTTGCATCGTTGAGGTCAATGCTCGGTCAATTTACTCCAAAGCGTCCAGGCTCCCCCAGGTCAGTGATTTCACTTGTGGCCGATTTTAACAAGAATTTTGTCTTCCTTCCGTCGAAGTGAACCTAAGCCAATGCTATGAAAACTTATTGTTATCTTGCATTAATTTACTGCCAATTTTTTCCTAAGTGCTCTACGACACTACTTTGCCATCTCTTCCTCCCATTTTTTCATTGGTACACTTGTCAGGTACTTTAATTTTGCCATTACTAACAAACTGGAAACAAGGGAGCTTTGGTAGCTCTCTCTCTCTAGAAGTGATTGATATTGCATGCTCTTGGTGTTTTAAGTTTTGTCTAAACATGGGTTTCTTGCCATCTAAATAAATTCTCCTCTGTTTGTCAAGATGAATATGTCATTTTACTAATTCGATGTTGTGGAACAGATCGTTGCAAGGGATACCGAGTAAACGACTCAAGCCGGAGTTCCCAAGAGTTGTGCAGCGGATGCCCTCTTCGGCTAGATACCCCAAGAATGCCCCTGCCGTTCCCTAACTGTTTGAGTCAAAGTTTCATTCTTTTTGCTCTTTATCCGGGCCTTTCTCAGTTCACACGTGGAGAAGTTGGAGATATTGAATCGCAGGTTCATGTTTCGTTTCAACAACTAACAATATGTCCCGGCAAAGATCTTCCTTGTTGATCTGACGACTTCGAGGGCGTTCATTATTGGAAGAGTAGATGTACCTGAGACTGCCTCACAACTCGAGCCATCATTTTGTCGGCAGGATACTGGTCTCTGGTGTAAATCGATTCTTTTCTCGTGCTCTGCGCATTTACTACACAAGGCAAACCCAGGACTTGTGCTCGGCTCGACAAACTGCTGCGGATCGAAAGCTGCCTCCACTCGATGGCTCGGCGTGGCTCGAGGACTTGACCAACTAACCGACAGTGTTAACCGTGCTACAGTTTAACTGTTTTCCTTTTTTTCCCGCTCGGTGGCCCTTGACATGGGGAGATTGTGGTAATTCTAGGGCTGCTTTACTGGCGAAGTCTTCCGGCACAGCGACGTAACATTTCGGTGTATCGTGGTTGATTCTTTGAGCAATGAAATCTGTACAATTTGTTTGCCGAGTGTTGTGCACCCTACTGATGTTTCTCAGTTCCTCCATAGCCGATGGATTATATACAAAGAGATGCACACGGTCTTGGCAGGAAAATGGGCGAGCAGTGGATATGAGATTTCGTGAAATATTAGGAAGGTACACGGGGAAATTATGTCAATACATGTTCTGAGATTTCAATATGGTAATATGAAGCAAAACTTATCCATGGAATGGAAAGGTCGATCCAAAGGTTCAGCCTTTGCCCGTCTCGACATCGCGGCACTGGCAACTCGAGGAAAACGACACCGGCGGTGCCCGCTTGCCTTGGTGCTGCAATTTTTCAAGCGATCATTTAGGCTGATGCAAAGGCAATTTTCCTAGCCTAAAAATCTTATGCGGCATTAATTTAGTATTCAATCATTTAATAGAAAATTGCGGAGGAAACGTAAGTGATTTCGCTTTCAAAAGTTATGTTATGAGACTTAAATGATTGCTTGAAAAATTATGACATCAAAATGAGCGCTGAAAATTATGACACCGTTAATATCTTATCATTGCCGTAAAAAAACCCTTATATCTTGGCAAATCACTTCAAATCTTGAGCTTAACCATCCACTTTGGCTCGTTGAAATCCAAATATTACGAAAAAATAGTATCCAACATTTCATAATCTTCGGTGGACCTAGAAAAGCCATTCCCTTTTTACATTCGACTCACTTAGATCGGATCAATTATAAGTATATATATATTCTAGTCAAGGACCAATCTAAGTAAATTTTTTTACGCTTGATTTCAATTACCAAAATGTAGATATGTCAAAATGGATCATAGACATATGAAAAAAATAAAAAAAATGGATCATAGACCCATTTTTTCACCCATATTTGATGAGATGAGTTGTTGTCCAACTTGATTTTATTCAGTAAACGGGTTTAGAATTAAAAAAAAAAAACCCAAAATAATATAAGCCTTAAATTGGTTCACAACTTACTTATACCCAATCTACCTCCACAACTCTCTCTTCGCTCTCTCTCGCCTTTGCTCGCTTGCTCACTCCGTGCTCTGATCTCAATTTGAGCAGGAGTTTTCAAATATAGAGCGGTGTTTTAGTAACGTAGGGTCGTGGTCGGAGTCGGGGTACCGGGTACCGGTCATTTAATTTATATCGCACGGAAACGGGTCAAACGTGTCGATTCAAGCCGGGCCCATTTTCCATCCGGACCCCCGTCCGTTCGACGGGCCTACCAAAAACGGGCCGTAGCCCGATCCGCCGCAGCACGACGCCGTTCCGCACCCATTCGTCTCTCATCAACATCACAGAATTAGAAAAAGAAGGAAAAAAAAAAATCGAAAACGAAAATCGCTGACCGAAAAGAAAGAGAAGAAAAGGAAAGGGAAAGGGGAAAGGGGAGGGAGAAGAACCCCACTCTCGATCTCGAAATCCAATAAGAACCACCACTCGCTCTCCCCGCATCTCCATTCCCATCTCTCCATCTCGAAATCCAAGTCGATCCATCCATCCCATCGCCATGTCCGCCTCCTTCGACTCCTTCGGCATCGACGGCGACGAGGTGGTGCACGCCGCCGCCGCCGCCGCCCCGACGGGCCACCCCCAGTTCGAGGACCACCACGACGGCGGCGGCGGCGCCGCCTTCTCCTCCGGCTACGGCGGCTACTCCGGCTTCCCCCCCGGCCCCGACGGCGAGGTCGCCGTCGACCGATCGCCGGAGATCTTCGGGTTCGAGGAACCGGGCCCCGGGTACTCCCCGCCCTCGCCCTACGACTCGGTCCACGTGGAGAACGGGAACGGGAACGGGAACGGGAACGGGAGCGTCTTCGAGGGCGGCGACGACGACGACGGGGTCTTCGCGGCGGACGGGCCGATCCTGCCCCCGCCGAGCGAGATGCAGGAGGAAGGGTTCGCCCTGCGCGAGTGGCGGCGGTGAGGGACTTTTTTTTCGAGCGCCGTTGATTTCTGGATTGGGTTTCGGTTTTTGGCCCTCGTGGCTTTCGATTTGGTTAGATCTGGCTTTGGTGTGCTGTTTGATGCTTAGATCTAGGCTCGATTGGTCGGGCCTTGAATTGCTACTGCGTTCGAAATGCGGTGAAATGCGCGCTTGCTGAGCTGCGGTTCGAGCGATAGTTGAAGTGGATTGGCCCTGGTGGCGATCTCGATTCAGAAAGTCTAGGCTTCATTTGATTCAATTCATCATTCGTTATCGGGTTCTCAATATCTCATTCGCTCGTCTGAACTGCTAGTTTGCTAAGATCTGATTCTGAGTTCGCTTTTTTGTTGGACACTTAAGACTTAGAATTTCATTTTCACTTTCTATTTATGCTTGAGTGATAGGGTAATATTGTGGACTTAGGCTTCAGATTGAGGTTCTCTTGTGCAATTTCTTCGAAATCATAGTAGTGTGATTGTTGATCTTGCAGTTGACCCCGGAAACTTTGGAAGGTTAGGTGTTCTTGGATCTAGATTTGGATCTGAGATGAATGTCACCTTTCAACTGGGACTAGCAAATTTGGAAAAAGTCAAGTCCCACTAAAGCGAAACATAGAGTTGTTGGCATGAAGTCCTAGATAGGAAAGAGGAACCTAAAATACATGACTGTCTCTTACCAAGATATCAGGCTTCTCTAGGGGAACAATCAAGCTAGATTTAGTTGACATAGGAAGATGCCAATTCATCTCGAACTCAATCATGGGTTGCTTTTCATATTTGGTCGGCTCAAAAGAATAATATAAACACTCGAGCGCAAGTGACCCCATTCAAATTGAGTAATTAATCATAATTGATCTCGAGAGTGATCTCCAGTTTTTATATTTTATGCAGATAAAAGATTTAGAGTAGATTTTGTTCCAGCTCCAGACCACGATATAATGAAGAAGATGCATTTCGAACTAAACCCCGAATGACTGTCTACAAGATCCATGAAAATCAATACGGTTGAACTTAACTTGGTTTGATGGTTAAGAACTGTGAAGAGAGCCTGCAGCTTCATCTATAGATAGAGAGAGGAAACGAGAAACTGAGAATTGTGAAGAGAGTACCAGTGTAAACTGGCAGATTGGACTCCGTTTTCCTGTTGAACGTAACTTGGGTGATGGTCAAGAACTCAAGCTTGATTGGGCTTAATTTTTTTAGCTTGAGCTCGATTCTATTAAATATCATGCTCGAGCTCGAATGGACTTCACTTGTTCATTATAAGCAAATGTTGACACAAAATTCAGTTAAGCTAAAGCGAAGCTCAAGCTGAAGCTCGTACTAGTCTAAAATCTATATCCGTGTTTTCTATATATATATGCATTCCTGTTTAAAATCAATATCAAAGCTTAAGTGTTTGATTCGGCCTGGAGTTAAGTATTTTCAAGTTTAAGCTTGCTTCGATCAGATACTTGCTGGACTTGAGTTCAAAAGGAGTTGATTCAAGCTTGAGTATTAAGTAAGTTCAATTCAATAGGTGACAACTAGCTGAACTTAGTTCAAGTGTATCAACTTTGAAATTGTTGAGGTGAAAACGTGATCTAATTTCTAAGTAGCTGAACTTAGCTCAAGCGCATCAACCTAAGGGTTTTCTTTTTGAAATTTTGAGGTGAAAACCCGATCTAATTTCTAAGTAGCTGAACTTAGCTCAAGTGTATTAACCTAAGGGTTTTCTTTTTGAAATTTTGAGGTGAAAACCCGATCTAATTTCTAGCTCCTTTGAGTATTTCTTGAATGGCTCTTTTGTTTTGTCCAATTAGTTAGTCTTCCATTCTTTTTTTTTTAAAACTGGACTTTGGTCCCTAAAGCAGCTTAAAATTGCTCTAAAACTTTGCACTGAATGTTGGATCTTGACATGGTGTAATAGTCGCTGACATGGGTGGAGCCCCATGTAATTGGATTATTTCGTGTACATACCCTTGCATACTTCTCGAAAGAGTGATCCTCTCTTACCAGTAGATAATGAGTTGACTCAGTTAAGCCGTCCATTATTACCCTAATAGAGTCATGATTCCTTGGCATCATCAGTACAAGCCTTGCGCGAAAACCCAAGTATGCGCAGTATGGTTTCGACGATGGTAGCGGTGGTAGGATGTTCTGATTATAACAGACTCCTTCGTATGACTGCCTGTTACACTATCTAGATACATGATGCATACAATATGTAAATTTTGACTACTTGATATTTATATTAAAGATTCATATATTTAGTGAGTATTAGTTCTTGTATGTGATGAATTATGTGATGCGTGGAAAGAATTTTAGTTTTACAGATTCTGCTATAGTTATTAAGCGTTTTTTTATTTGTTCAAAAGAAATTGCACTTGCCTTATGTATTCTATTGGGCTGTTGCAGAATGGTTAGACAAACCAAACATATCATTAGTTGTATTTCATTCCAATGTATAAACGAAAAAAAGACTTTATTGAGTCTATTTCAGGTGCGAACTGAGAGAGTATCGACTAGTTTGAGCTTGTGTGGTAAAACTATTTTAATTACTGAAAACTGGAAACGCTTAGATTATAGTAGAGGTAGAAAAGCAATCAAGTCCTTGTAGTCCTCTAGTAGCTTGAATGGCTTGCATCATTTGGTTAGCTTGAAAACTATGACACTCCTAGGTGTTTTGTTGAAACACAGGCGGTGGTGATGATGGTATTGATACTTTTTATAGAGACGTGTATGTAGTTACTAATTGATATGTTTGATGATGGGTCTAAATTTACTGATTGGCCATTAGTTTTGTCTGCATGTCTAGTACTGTGATGTCCTCCATTCTTTCATGGAGAACTTCAGATAATGCTAGTACAATAGGAAGGTTATGATGACTTTTGAAAATAGATATGATTACCCAAAGTCTCCTAACTTTTTTTTTACCAATAGAAGTGTCCGAAATTGATTTTTTCAGAGTCCAAATAAAGCGGTGGCATGGTGCCTGGTTTTCGCTTAAGTACAGTGTAGAAGGGAACTGTAGTATCATTGGAGTGCAAGTAGATTATTTACATGGTTTGACGAATCTTCAAATATGTTGTGTCTGATTCTGTGATATTTTCCAAATTAATTGACCGATGGAAGGTTTTATTCGAGAGATCAGAAGGTTTTTACTCTACTTCTGATGCCTCGTTCTAGCATGTTTACAAATGCAGCATGACCTGCTATGCTATAAACTTATTGTTTATGCGCTTCCATTTGCTTCTGCAGCCAAAATGCACTTTTGCTTGAGGAGAAGGAGCAGCGGGAGAAGGATATGAGGGTCCAGATCATCCTAGACGCTGAGGATTATATAAGAGAATTTTATGAGAAAAGAAAGCTGAATGTTGAAAGCAACAAGACCAACAACAGGGAGAGGGAGAAGGTAAGAAACTCGAAAGTGTCCTCCCATTGACCGGCCATTTCGATAGATTAGTTCCGAGCACGGCAATAATAATGACTTGTGCATGTCTTGCAGTTATTCCTAGCTAGTCAGGAGAAATTCCATAAAGAGGCAGATAAGCAGTATTGGAAGGCCATAGGAGAGCTGATCCCTCACGAGGTTCCAAACATTGAAAAGAGGCGAGGGAAGAAGGACCCGGAGAAAAAGCCAGGGATCACCGTCGTCCAGGGTCCGAAGCCTGGAAAGCCGACTGACCTCTCTAGGATGCGTCAAATACTCGTAAAACTGAAGCACAATCCACCGCCTCACATGATCCCACCTCCACCACCTCCCAAGGACGCAAAAGATGGGAAGAATGCAAAAGACGGGAAGGACAAGGAGAAGGAGAAAGAGAAAGAGAAGGATGGTGCACCAACTGCGAATGGGGCTCCTGGGGCGGCTGCAGCAGCACCTCCTGCTAAAGATGGTGTTAATGGCTCGTCTAGCCCGCCGAAAGAAGCTGCTCCCGCCGAGGAGCAACTCGAGCAAGCGAATGCTTGAGCGTGCTTTCACCCTCGCTTCTCTGAAGCCATGAAGTGCATTATGATTGCTCTCGTTCGTCATGATATCTTTTGATCGACTTATTTTTGTCTATTGAATATTTTTTCTTGAATGTTGTGATTCATTTTTCTCGAGTCTCAGGTATTCTTACTGCTTGGTGCTTTCGTCGTCACGTGTTGCGCAGATGTAGTAGACATTCGAACCGGAGAAACCAGGATATGCGGGTCTGTAACCCAGGGATTGATCGAATTTTACTCCATGTATTGATATATTTGTAGTTTCTCCTCCTCTTCGCCCGAGATCATCACGCAATACTTTATTCCATTTTGGAAGGGCGTGCCTCGGATCTTCACTTTTTCTAGTCTCGTAATAAAATCCTCGTTGTTGTATCTGTGCTCTCTCTCCATCTTCGTTTCGGCTTAAGCTGTGCGGTCGCCAATAATGTTCATTTAGAAGAAGAAAGCTATAGTGGTGAGGCCAATTTGAGAGAAAGCCGATAAGTGACGTGAATATCTCATTCCTCACCTTACCTTTCCTGTATAAAAAGCTCACACAAAACATAAATCGCCAATTTCTACATTGGCCTTCTATCTGTATACCGCGAATCATCAAAGACAGACGTCAAATACATTATGTGATGTTTGAGATTTAAGTATGGCCTTGTAAAGACTGTTAGCACACCCTAGAAAAGGTCCCGATACATCCCGAGTTCGTCAATTTACAATGGTGCCAATGCTGCGTCTGCTGCTCAAAGCGAGCCGGGACAGCTGCACCGATGCCCTCTTTTCAATGTTCATTCACAGGTGATGTGGAATTCGGTGAAAAGGAGAGAACCCATTTCCGGGAGCAATCCAACTCAAGCATAAACATTGTACAACATCTACAACCCCCTTGGAGACAAAACTGATCTTTTAAAAGTCAAAACGGGGAAGGACTTCCCCATGTCCAAAACCTTATACTTGACATTGCCCACATCCAGATAATATCCTTGGCAATAGCAAATGCCGTGTATTGGATCGAAAGGAAGAAGAAGAAGAAGAGCAAAACAAAGCATAAACAACAGCAATTAAGCAATGCAAAAGTAGAAACAATAGAGAGACAAGTTGAACCGCTAGAGAAGATAAAACTACAAATAACAGAGCTCAGCCGCAGGATCAGTTTCAATTCTCATGGAAATACATAAGGAAATTGCAGGAGCTGTACGCCGCTGGTTCACGGATGAGATCGATCCCAATGAGCGCACTCACTAAAAGATCTAAAAGTTATTCTGCCCATTACGATCATTCTCGGTCTTTCTTCTTATCTTTCTTCTTCTTCTTCTTCTTCTCCTCCGATTTATCGCCATCATCATCCCTACCATTACTGATACCATCCTCAGCTTCTTTGTTCTTTTTCTTCTTCTTCTTCTTCTCCAATTTCTCTGTATCTGGAGAAACAGCTTCGGCGGCCTTATCCTTGTGCCCCTTCTTTTCTTTCCGAGCCGTCTCCCCGTCCGAAGACGCATCACCATTCTCTTTGTCCTTCTTCTTCTTTTTCTTCTTCTCTTTCTTCTCGACTTCCACTTCCACCGCATCATCCGTCACCTTCTTAATCTTCACTTTCTCTTCTCTCACGACTTCCTCGACTTCTTCCACCTTTGCCTTTTTAGCAGGAGCAACATTACCATCATGCACCTCTCCGTCCTCATCCTTACTCTTCCTTTTCTTCTCCTTCTTCTCCAAAACAGAACCCTCCCCAACGACGGAAATCTCCTTCTCCGGCTTTGCCGGTTCAGCTGCGGCAGCAAGACTGGCAACCATAGAATCTCCACCAGTTGGGAGAACCACATTCCTAAGCCATTCTTGAGGGGTCTTCTCATTCGGCTTCCCGTGCTTATCCAACTTCCCATCAGCAATCAGTTTCTTCTTCATAGACGCCCTCGGGCCGAGTCCCCACTTCCTTGGATAAGTATCCCGATCCATAACAACCCTCTTAATCTTTGACACCACGCCGTGATCACAAGTCGCCATCACAGCCGTGGTCATTTCAGCAATGCCCAACGCAACAGCCTCACCTTTGGTAGTCATCAGCACGACTTCCTCCCCAACCTCAATATCATTCTCGAACCTCAGCAACCCGGGAATCATCAGCTTCGCACCATAGCAGATGGCATTCACTGCCGAATCCTTCACCACCAACCTCTTGTAGCTCGTCAGCAGAACCTCGAGCGGCATGATTACCCTCCTCAGATAGCTCTCATCCCTATAGTTATCATACAACCACTGCCCGTCCATCACATCGTGCATCGTCACCATGTTATCCTTCTCACCGAGAATCCCCGACCGCACCCTCCTCAGCTCCTGCATATGCCCTCCAACACCCAGAATAAGCCCCAAATGCACGCACATGGTCCTCACATAAGTGCCCGCCTCGCAGGAAATCCAGAAGACGACCAAATGCCGGTCGACGTCGTACTCCAGCAGCTTACTCTCATAAATGGTCCTAATCCTAAGCTGCCTCTTCACGGCGGAGATCAAGGGCGGCCTCTGGAAGACCGCCCCGGTGAGGGTCTCGAGCGCCCGGGCCACCTTGGCGACCTCGGGGACCTTGGAGTGCAGCCTGGCGACGCAGACGTACTCCTTCCCGGCGCCCTGCTGGGACTTGACGAGCCGGGTGGCCCGGTCGATGCACACGATCAGGTTGCCGGTGACCTTGGGGTCGAGGGTGCCGCTGTGGCCCGTCTTCTCGACCCGGAGGATGCGCTTGATCCACGCGACGACCTCGTGGGACGAGGGGTTCGCGGGCTTGTCGAGGTTGAGGATGCCGTACCTGATGTACTCGGCGAGGGGGCGCTTGAGCGGGGAGTAGCCGGAGGGGAGCGGGGTGTAGTGCCCCGTCCGGACGTTGAGGCGGTCGTAGTTCTTGAGCAGGATCGGCCACTGCGAGGTGTCGATGGAGGGCGTGAACGACTGTGGCTTGATCATGTAGTCGCCGCCGGCGTCGTCCTTTCCGGGCGCCGCCGGGTCGCGGTGTTCGGGTTGCTGCTCGCCGCCGCCGCCGTCCTTGGAGCGGTGCTTCTTCTTCTTCTTGTCGGAGCGAGAGATGTCGAGGTCGGACATGGCGAGACGGGTTTCGGGTCGCCGGAGCGACGGTGGGTTTTCTTGGTTAGGGTTTAAGAGTGGAATGAAGGAAGGAGGTGGGAGGAGGGCTTCTGGGTCGTGGGGAAATGGAAGGCTTTTATAAGGAGGTCTTCTTAGGGTTTTAGGGGGATGAGGAGGAGGAGGACGACGACGATGCAGAAAAATGGTGGGGGAGGTTTTGAAGTTGCACCAGATGGGCTTTCTCAGAAAGCCCAGCCCAGGGCTCAGATCATTGATTGGTTGGGATGTGGATTTTCTCACACCCCCTTCCAAATCTTCAAGCAAGTAACGAGAGAGGTGATCATTGAGCGGGATCGGGAGTGGCGGGTCAACGGCCGAGCCTAAGTGTGCCACTTCTTGAGCCCACCCTGTCGTCTAACAGGGTCGGGCTTTTCTGGGTGAGACCCTGACTAGAGACCATCATCAGGCGGGCGCTCTAAGGTCAGACCTAGACTGTTGTCGAAGTTCGCCGTCTCGAAGTTTATGTACTGCTCTTCGGGCGGGCTCCGGGGTAGGTCTGGCTTGGCATGGGCTTAGGCCGGGTTGGTGAGCCGCCGGGTGCCATGATTGTCCGAGCCTACTCATTTCCCATGCAAAGTCTAGGAAGCTAGGATAGGCTACCTTGCTCGTGGCCAAGGGAGCAAGTTCGATAGATAGATAATCTTTCAGTTTTCTTGACGACAAGGCAATGTTTGCCAATAATAATAAGATCATGGAACATGATAGGCGCAAGCATGAAACTTGATGAGTAGCTTAAGACATGAGATTCTTTGCCTGAGGAAAAATGCCGGAGGATCGAATCTGTACAGCGTGACTAAGCCATACATGGTACGAAAACAAATCATGAAATCGATCACCTAACATCATGCAAACTTCATTGTCAACAACCGTTCGAACGAATTAAGACGCATTCTGACAAATGAATCTTGTTAACAAGTGTTCCTGGACACCGATTAAGTATACTAAAATGATGAAAAATTCATCTTTTAAAGTGTTGACTTCATATATCGCATTTCTTGTCGGTGCATCAGAATCTATAAAATTTCTTTGATTAATTGATCTAAACGAAATTCTTAATAAATTAATAATAGCCCTTAAACTTGCAGAAAAAAAGAGAATATAATTTCTCCCCTCATAATTTTCATAATTTCCCCTTAATAATAACAATAATTTGATTTTCCCTTTTTACCGTTCTTTCCGGTTATCGTTTCCCTCTCAATCTTTCCGCCCCCACCATCCCCTCCTCCTCCGCCCCAAGCAGGAGCCAAACGGATCGAAGTCCGCCGCGCACGGCGGTTGATTCCGCCGCGAGCGAGCGACTGCTCTCTCTCCCTCCCACCACCACCGTCGCCTCCACTCGCCACCCAATGAGAACCTCAATCTCTCCGAACCGAACCCAGCTCAATCACCTGCTAATTCCCCATTTCTTCTCACCATCGTCGTCGTCGTCGTCGTCATCGCTCGTCCGTTCTCTATCACCCTCCTCTCATCGGAGAAACCGCACTTTCATCCACACCCATCACCCGAAATGGCTCCGCAGCGCGACCCACGTGGCGTTGCTGTCGGCCAGAACCTCCGCCGCTTCCGGGTCGGCGAGCTATGGCGGGTGGGAAGACTTCGGGCCCTCTGACGGCTCCGGCCGCCCCGGCGAGTCGACCCAGTTGCGGAAATTCTTGGTCTCTGTCGGAATCGACGACCAGAGGCACGTGTTCATGTTCGCCTTGGGGCTTGTCTGCGCGCTGGCCATTTCTAGAGTAAGGGTTTCTTCCATAGTCATATTCCCCGCTTGCGTCTCGGTTTTTGTGGTCGGGTTCTCGCTTGGTTTGGTTCGCGGCGGAATTGTGGCAGAGGCGGTTGGGAGTAAGAGGCGGTCGAAAGAGGACGTGCTTAAGGTTTACGGCGAGAAGTGGCGGATATTGGTGGATTTTTTGGATGAATTAGATGTTAGAGTTAACCATTTAATGAGTGATGTTAGGAGTTCTATGGAGAGTAAAAGAGTTGGATTGAATGATTTGGAAAGTTATGTTCAAGAACTTCAGATGATCAGTTCATCGGCTTCAAATGTTAGAGATAACATGCGTGGCTCTTTAGCTAGTTCTGGGAACTCCAGCGGCTCGTTAATTGAGAATGAGAAGTCAAATAAGAAAAGGAAAGACCATGGACAATTCGGGTTTCTGTTGTTGGAATCCATGGGGGGCCTATTTAGTGGAAGTTTGGGTGGTCTAAAGCCTAACAAAATAAAGGATAGTATGAAAGAAGAGAACCTGGGGAGTGTGGTGAAGGATGATGCTATTGAAGGTGCTCCAAAAATGGCATCTGAAGTAAATCATGGTCATAGAAGTTCAGGTTCATACGAAGATGTGGTACATAGGCAAAAAATTTATCAGGGTGGAAGAAGAACAAGAGAGGTTATGGAAAATGGAAGTATGAGTTTGGATGAGGAGGGTGGGAGTACCAGAAATTATGTCAACAACATGAGGAGGTCTAATTACCACACAGACAGCTTTCATTCCTTAAATAGTCAATATGTGTACTCGAAGGAAAGACACAGTTATAAATCTCAATCACAGGAACCCCGTGATAACCAGCTTGATTTTGTGGATTTTGACATGAAGACAAAACATGTGGAAACCGAGGCTTCCATTGTGGAAGACCAGTTGCTTCAGAAATCTGAGAGATATTATGCATCTCGCCGAAGCAGCGAAAGGAGGAAGGTGCAAACTTACCAATCTCAAGTGAGAAAAGAGACAATGAATTCCCAAGATGATCTCTTTTTTGTTGACCACCGGTCTGAACTCGAGGGAGATGTTAGTTCGATGTCCTCTCCCAATATTTTAGATGACATGGAGTTTGATAGGTATCTAACAGAAGCAAATAACCTTCTAAAGCAAGCCAAGGAGTTGGTGAGGGGAAGACATGATGAAGAGCATGCAGAGGCCATCCTTTACGAGTCTGCGGGATTGCTCTCTAGAGCGATAGCCATGAAACCGATGAGCTTGTTGGCCGTGGGTCAGCTGGGTAACACCTATCTACTCCATGGAGAACTGAAGTTGAGAATTAGTCGTGATTTGAGAACTTTATTAACAAGCGGCGAGTCATACTTCGAGAAACGAGTAAGAATTGGAGGCAGTGGTGGCCACCATTTCTCCAGCAAAGATAAAATTGGGTCTGTCCTTGTTCAGGTGTGTGAAGAGTGTGAGGAACTTCTTGTAGAAGCTGGCAGAAAGTATAGGCTTGTATTGTCAATTGATGGGAATGATGCTAGAGCCTTATACAATTGGGGTCTTGCTCTATCCTTCCGTGCCCAGTTGATTGCAGACATAGGACCAGTAAGCATTTTCCGTGTACATACTTTACTGTTCTAAGACACTATGGTTAGCATCTCATATGCATTTAAATGGCGAAATTTGTTATCTTCAAATTATGCCTCTTTGAATTTCAGGAAGCAGCTTTTGACGCAGACAAAGTGTTTATGGCTGCAATTGACAAATTTGATGCGATGATGTCTAAAGGAAACGTATATACTCCAGATGGTAAATTCCTATCCCTTCTTGGCTCCTGAAAGTCTGGTATCTCACCATTCATGATGATTATAGGGTTTAACATTGTCTTCTTTGCCCCCACACCGAATGTTGAGATGCTAAATAGGTTGAAGAGAATAGACATAGATATTTGCACTAGTGGTATGTTCCTTATAAAGCTCGATGCATTATAAATTGTTGGAAATAGGGAGAAGCTGGTAGTTCCGTTGAATGATTACTGAAGATGATACTTACTTAGAAGTCTACAGATAGAATCTTTTGAAATGTAATTACCGGTGCAAACAGTAAACATGTTTTCCATTTGAGAAATTATTCTGGTGATAATCATTTCCTAGCTGATCCTCACGTAGTGCACATTTCTATCATCTTTTACTAATAATATTTGTATTATTCTGATGTAAATTCACAAATCCAAAAGTTTGTCAAAGTTTTACATGTTATTTTTAGATGTATGTGAGACTATGCTGTCTATATATAAAATAGGAGGGGAGGTGGGAGGAGAGAGATGGAAATAGGAAAAAAATACTATATAGATGTTTGAGACTTTGTATATTATTATGGATGACATATTTTACGAGGTGAAAAACTGCAAATTGAGGGAGTGGAAAGATAAAGAGAATCTTATCTTGTGAGTCAAGGAAGATGGCATGATTCTAATCTCATCCATACTGGGCCCAAGTATGAAGTTTCATTGTGGCTCAAATTTTCTTTTAGTTTTTCTTAATTTGAGTTATGCAGCCTTGCTGGGACGAAATTTTTCATGATACTTGGAAGATTTTTGTTTTATTCGTTTAAGAAGATTTTTAGGGTAGAGGGTGGGTCAATCCAAGGCATCACTCCTATAATGTACAGGCATATGACCTCGCTGATCCAAGGGTCAGGCTATTCTATAGTTTTCTTTTCAAGTGCCGAATGTGTACTTATAGCCTCTTACATTCATATATAATTAGGGCAGCCCGGTGAACGGAGCTCCTGTGATACCTGGGGTCTGGGGAAAGGTCAGACCACTTTGGTCTAAGGTACGCAGCCTTAGCTTGCAATTTTTGCAAGAGGTTGTTTCCACGACTTGAACTTTGACCTCCAGGTCACATGGCGACAACCTTATCCTTTCACCAATTCGACCCTTCAGTCTCATACACGCTTATGTACTGAAAAATCATATAATAGTAAAAGGTGAAGAAGGAGAAAGGACGTGTCCCTAATGATTGCATGTGGCACCACGAATTCGGAAGCTATTTTGCTACTAGCACCACAATAACTTGTGAATAAGATGATGCCAGAACAACAATCTATCTTCTGGAAATACTATTTGTCACCTCAATAGTAATCGATGGTTATACAGGACTGTGATTAGGGTAAAGAATTTGCATTTAAAGTGGTGCATGCTCTACGTCTGTAATTGGGAAGTCTAACACAATAGCAAGGAAAAAAGAAGTTGTCGCTAACAAGGCACCAAACTTTTTGGATGGATTTTTGTGTACCGCATAAGAAACTTCTTTTAGTCATTTAAAGACAAGTCTACATATCTAGCCAATTATAGACAAGTCATGTATAGTATATTAACAACTCTAATGATAAGTAATGTTACTTGATAGATTGCTAATCTGATGGGATTAGGTCATACCAGGAATCTGCATGGAAAGAAAAGGAATAGGAACTAAGAAAAAAAGAAAAAAACAAAGTTTTTCTACTTGTTTCTGGGGAATGCTTAAAGTCTAACCAGCTTGAGACATGGCACATTGAAGATTTCTTCTTTTGTGTAGAGCTTGAACATAAAACTAGGTGGATGATGGTAAACTCTCGGCAGTTCACACTGTATAAATGCTGATATCCTATTTGAACTTGCAGCTTTGTTCAGATGGGGTGTGGTATTGCAACAGAGATCTCGCTTACGCCTGAGAAACAGTTCAGAGAAAGTGAAGTTGCTTGAGCAAGCAAAGAGACTATATGAAGATGCACTCGATATGGACTCTGACAATTCTCGTGTAAGGGAGGCCTTATCCTCATGCATACTTGAGCTGGACTATAAGCGCTCATTGTAGCATTAACAGCAGAAAGTCACAGGAAACATTATGCTTTCACTATCTATGCCCTATGTGTTGGGCCTGAAATTTTCTCTCCCCAATAATTATCTGAAAACTGTGCTTTAGGCGGGGCACTCTTTTATGTACTGCATATCTGTGTAAGTAGGTTAATAAATGAGGAAATAAGATGCAGGGCAATTGAAGCAAAGCCAAATAATCACAATAAAGTGACACTGTTTCTGTTTTGTGCTCGACCCAATTGGTGTCTGAAGAGTATATCAGTAATGAAAACCGTTTGGCTGACTCTGGATTTATCTTAGTGTGGCAGGAGTCAGTTGAATCTTGAAGTTTCACTTCCAATCTTTCATGGCTATTCTGGTTGTCCATTGTTAGCAAGCAAATTGCACGTCTCCTGTTAACCATAATACTTTTGGCTTAGTGATTTGTGTAACTCGTCTTTTTTGTGAACTGTAGCACCATGACAGACATTAAAAATGCTATATATTTTAGTTTATTTTCTCTGTAATGTGGCTCTTGTACATTACAGAGAAATTCACATGCACTGAATCACATGTCTGCCTCATATCTGCTGCCCTTGAGCCAAAACGTAACATGCATATTTCTCCAAGATATCCAGTCTCCATATGTGGATGAAATCCACTTTCCCATCAGTTTACAATGATAGATTCTGATGGGAAACTTTTGATGCTGGTGGCGACGGAATGATTTTGTCGAGTTGAAAACGGACAGGTACGGGGTGTGGCAAGAAGACCCTTTGTTGAGTTGTAAGTAAATTTGAAACTGAACTAAAGAACCTAATTATTAGTCATATTAGATGTCAAGAAGACGAGAGTTTCTTGACATGTACATCTTAGAGAAGCAATGTCAGCAACTCTTGGGACCAGTCACTGGTGGTAAAGGGAGATTGCAGCTGTGGCAATGGAGATGGAAGGCTATAGTACTAGCGGAGTCGAAGTCGTGGTGGTGGAATAGTTGGTGATGGCTGTGAAACCGCGAGGTGGTGTCTCATGGTGATTGTGAAAAAGGCAGAGTCGAGCCGTGGCGGTGGTTGCGTCTAGCTGGTAGTACTTTATCTACAGAAATTTTGTTGACATGAGGTTTGGAGCACTATTTGAGAGCTAAAGTCCTTTCTGAAGGAAAAACTCTCAATTCAAGAAAAGTTTAGCTGCAATTGGATTAAGTTTTTTATTTTGGGAAGTGCAGAGCTTTCAATTTATCTAATTTACTTATAATTATATATTTTGATTTGATAAGAACTTCACAAAATTTGAAGCACAAATTTAGGGCCATAATTCTGAGAAAGTTTGACTCTTAACTGGAATCAAACAAGCCCAACTCAATCTTCATTACTGAAACCGAAGGAACTATCATTATACTCGCGAGATGTTTTAGAGGGTTAATCTCCATTTGTTGTTTGCAAATCGTTTTAAGTGTCTCACGAGAAAATTACATATTGCATATTATCCAGCTTATATCGATGGTTAACGAGATTATCATGACGTCCAAGAGTAGCTACTAGGGAGATCCGATCGACGTCAAGTTTGTTGTGTTTGACACGCGATATTAGTAGGAGCCAAATTCTTTCTATTTGAGCAAGAAATCCAAGTGTATAAGAGTGAAATTAGCTTCATGAACTTTACCACAAGTAGAGATCTCCCTGTTCCAGGAGGAGGTGGAGTCAAATATCTTTCTTCATCCAATTCTATTCTATCATTTGCCCAAATACTGATTGGTCCAGCGGGTCATTACTGTTAGGATAATACAATGAATGGTATAGGCCCAAGGTGCTGGTTTTAATTAATTCGTAAGATATTATTTTAGGAGCTTCTATTCCCCCAAAAAAGCAAGATCTATTTTTCAAATAGAACATATATTATAAGCAGCATTGAGGACCCAGGACCCAAGAAAGAGGGTAGTACCAAGAGGATACTCCTTTGGGTTTTATTTACAACATATTATTTCTTTACTCAAATTGGCAACTATTGAACTATAAGCATCTTTATAATATATACATACATATATTAACGTGTTTATTTTTTTTAAAATATTTAAAGCGAGAAAGGTGTTGGGTCTTGAAAAGTGATCTGGGTTCCTTTACTTGTAACACAATGAGAGGGACATCATCCTATTTTTTTTTATTCTTATTTTCTGGTACCTATATTTTATTCTAGTAGTGGGGTTGAATGATAAGTAAGATAGAAACAATACAATGTTCTAATTGAGGTGGGCAACACCTGTCAACATTTCTCCACCAGCCCCAACCAATATTATTCTCTACTAATTTCTGTGTGAGACCCACTGGAGATCCCTTTCTTCGCATTCACCCTTCATGTTATGTTAATCTAAGAAAATAAAGTTGTCCTCATTTTAACATCACTTGCAACATTTGTCGTAAAGCAAAAGACGCAAGGTAGACATTAACCCAAGTAGGCATCGCAAGGTCCGAAACCCTTCAAACCAAACCCATTTAGATTAAAGGTCTTTGCATTCCTCAAAGGCTTTTCCCAAAGGCCAAAGTAAACGTACCCAAATCAACTCAAAGTCACTCCTCGTTGACCTAGATCTGAGAGCTGTCCAGAGATAGAGAGAGCTTACTTGATAGAGTGATTGAAAGATGTTCCTGACCAATTTGTGGCGTCCAATTTCAGGTTTCCAGGTATCTCAACATCCAAGAGCCACCACAGGCACGGCATCAAGTCCTATTTCAAGTATTCCGCAAGGAATGACGTTTTTAATGGTCGAAAGCAGTACCCCATTATGATAAGTTGCCATGTAAAGTTGACTAGGATAAACGAGGCAATGACTATTCAGTAGATTCTCTTCTAATTTCAGTTCATTTCAAGTTTCATCAAGGGCTGTTCTGATCATCAATCCCCAGCTAAAAAAGATCAAGATACATAAGCATGTGCAGATAGCCGTCTCCCCTGGCAGATGGGAACACAAAAGAACCCACTCGAAGCATTAAGTTGAAGAGAGATCCTTTCATGGTGCTGCCGTTACTTCAGCCATTTCCTGTTCCACCGTGCTAGGCACGACAGGGTGGTAGTTGTAGTGAAGTTCCCCGACATCATCACCAGATAGCTTCTTCCATCCAGTTGGTCCCACATGATAGACTGAATGGGAGAAAACAAAAAAGGCTTATGTTATTCGTTCCTATCGAACCACCAAGTAAGCACCACATGACAGCATGGACAAATATTAAAGAAAATTCCCAGATGGGGGTGCGATTTGGGCATGAGAGAGAGAGAGAGAGAGAGAGAGAGAGAGAGAGAGAGAGAGAGAGAGAGAGAGAGAGAGAGAGAGAGAGTACCGCTTGCAACTCCACCACTGGCTCCATCACGAAAAGTTGCATGGTAAATGGCTCTTCTAGCCAATTCTGCAGCTTCTTCAACTGACATGTCATAATGATAGCTAGCAAATGCGAGGGCAGAAAAATCATCAGATTGATCATGGTAGAAACAGGGAAACCAGGATAATACTATAGGAAATTTTTTAAAATAAATAATAAAAAAACTTGAAGAAACTTCAGACTTCGACTGGGTTGGTGAAGTTACAAATAAAAGCTAATGCCACTATGGGAAAGCTACTCAATCATCGGGATACATGCTAAAAAAAGCTTAAGTGCATGTAGGTTGAACCATCCCATGGCAAGAGTATCCATATTGCATATTTGCATCGTCAGGAATGACCTCTGCTGGTGTAGACCTCCGAATATATCTCAGTTTGAAGGTAAACTATTTGCGCATATTCGTATTCCAACAATATCCTCAAAAATGACCAATTGCATGTTTTATACTCATGATCCAAACTTTGACCACCATCGATAGTCAAAGGACTTCTCCACTCCCCATAGAACAAAAACCGATTTAGTTTCTTAGTGTACGTAGTAAATGCAGATGCAACGGAAAAACAAGTTGTATGACTAGCGCAAAAAGAAGACGGAGAAGAAAGTTTGTTCTTATTCTTGCTCTTTCATTTGGGGTGGGTAGACAGAGCTTCAACACAGTATTCAACCCCCACACACTGCCCACTAGCATTTGGCTCTCTCTGTATAATTTAAATGGATTAATATCTGTTCCTACTGCCGATAATTAGGTGAATATGCTGCCTCTTCTGCATTATAAGGAATACAATAACAAGAAGGATTTCTAAGTAAGCAATGCATCCAGCAGAAGTCCGCGCATCCATTTTTTGGAAAGCAAATTGATCCAACATAATTGACAACCTACAGAATAAAACTACTAAGAAATAACATACCCGCTATCCAAAACCCCATATGCATATGGTGACCCAGATCCAACCGAGAACCGAGTCCCTTTCAATCTTCCTCCCTCACTGTCCACATAATATAGACTTGGGCCCTGCAATGAGTAGAAACAAGATATTGAAAGATACAAACAAAAAGCCTATATATTTTTGTGGATTGACATGCCGATACCGTCTCATCCCAGCCAGCGATCATCGTCCCAACCGATAGACCCATTCCACGATATGAATAGAGAATGTTTGCAAGGAGCTTTGAAGCCCCTGTCACTGAGATCCTCCGTTTGTTTGCCAATTCATGGAGCCGGCACTATTCAGATAAAGCACATTTTCAACAACACATCATAATGTTAAAAGCATGTAATTCAGCATCATGAAGCTTAGTCACCGGGGAGATGGATTATAATATACATATTTCTTTACAAACTATAGTAACCCTCTTCCACAACAGTTGTTCATATTAACTGAGACAGGACATAGAGAAACCACAAACTTATGCATGCAATTCATCGACTAATTCCACCCACAGAAAGCAGTATTTTTTAACACAAGTTGTGGTGTCTAGAACATATATTACAAGCAAACCTACAACTTATAATTCCCCATTTCTCAGAACAAAACATGCAATGTTCCAAAAAAAAGAAGTATCTCAGTATGCGTGCTGATTACCAATCCAGAGTTTCTAAGAAAGAAAGGAAACTACTTTTTCCCTTTTATTCACGGTTTTCTTTAGTCAAGTCTATCAGTCAAAAAGATTCATATTGTTCTAATTTTTTTACTCATAAGCTTGCCATACAACCTGAGAATCTTAACAATGACGATGACAAGAAGGAGAAAATATCATGCTCAACGTGCTTAATGTAAAACAAGCGAGCAGATTTCCAAATGCTGAAGCAGCAACTCAATAGGGGAATGTCAAAGTATTTCCTAGTTCACTATCTGCAATTCAAGTGTCACAAA